TTGCTATTTTTTATTATTCCTCCCAAATCCGCCTGCAGCGCCTGGTCGGGCCTGTCCCTCTACAGGAGGCATCTCCAAGCATACTCAACATATAGTCTGGGGTTTGAGTCTATGTCTGAATCCTTCTAAAATCTTGTTTGGGTATTTGTCTTATTTTTCGTCCAGAATCCGCCTGTGGGGGGACATGCCCGACCTGCGTTCTTTATGGTTCGCCATGTGTCAGAGGAGGAAGAGGCCCCCATACCTCTACCCTCCAGCCCATTTTCCTTTGAAGACCTCTGGGCGGCCCTCGTCGCCACCGCTGGATCCGCCTCGAAGTCATGGTCAGAACGCACCCCAGGAGATGTCCGGGGAGTAGCGGTATCGGTACCTTTGGTTTCCCAAATGGGGGAAACGGGTCCTGAGGGACGCGGGTCCTGAGGTTTGTCGCCGTCTTCGGGCTCTCGGGGCCTTCAACGGGGGGCTCTGGGACCGCCAGAAAATTTCTCGGGATGAGGATTTCGTCCTGGGGACAGGCCCCAGGGTCCAGGACCCGCTTCCCTCAGGACCCGTTTCCCCCATGCTCAGTGGTAGATGAATGTAAGAATCCCACTTGCCAGCACCTGCCCCGCATGATTGACGTACTTCTCAACATCCCGGGTGACCCGCTTGAAACTTGTGAAGTCACCCCCGCGACAAGGAGCAAGGGGCACCATATGCTTCCCCGAGTGGGGGAGGAGGACGAGAAGGAGGAGGAGGACGAGGAGAGGGTGGAGGAGAGCGGAGCAGGGAGGAGCAGGGAGGAGCAGGACGGAGGAGGAGTAGGAGAACGAGGAGGAGGAGGAGGAAACGGAGGAGGAGGAGGATGAGGAGGGATGAGCGTGAAGGAGCAACTGGCCCCTGTGGGAACTTCGGGAACCCTTGTATAGGCCCCGATGCCATACAGTCGTCGGCGCTGGGACGCTGAACAGGCTCCTGAAGCATCGGAGGGAATCACAGACACACGAATTCGGTTTCTTCCGTCTATTGTAATGCATTCGGAAGCCTCATGCATCACGCTTCCTGCAGGAATTGCATTGGGGGCCTCAAAGAGGGTGTCCCAGAAGTTTCCCAGAGGCGTCCAGGAGCCTTCACCCGGACTTTCCAACTGCCAGACAACTCTGGGGGCACGGGGCATACATTGACATGCTGGTCCAGAGGCCTCTGACCTGAATGCGTGTGTATTTCGAATTCTCTCCCAGGGCTTCCAAAGGCGTGCGCTTGATGCAGAGTCCAGGGCAGCAACCCTAAGTCCGTTGATCCGCGTATCCGTGTTGGCAGATCCATGCCTCGGGATTCTGCGGGATGGGAAGGTCTGGCGGAGAGGCCCAGGGGCAGATCTTGGGCGATTTGTCAGTGGGAACTGGCATAGTTTTCTTGATTCGCTCCTGGAGGTAGAACCGGTTGCGCTCATCGTAGAGCGCCACGAGGCATAACTTTCTTGATGCGCGCTTGTTATGCTGACGCCCAATGCTGTTGACATTCTCGGTGCGCCTAAGCATGTGAGGTTTTCGGAGAGAAATATCTAATGGCCTTCGGCCCATCCCGCCACCGTGCCTGTGTTGTGGGTCAAAGTTCTCAGGGATGCCGCTTCGGGTCTCTTCGGATCGCTCTCGGTGGCATCTGGGGAGCAGTTTTGGGGCCTCGTGTAAACCTCTAGATGGCCTCTTGGGCGCCTCTTGGGGCTTTCTGGGGGCCTCTTGGGTGCTTCTTGGGGACCTCTTGGGGCCTCCTGGGGGCCTCTCGGGGCCGAGGGCTGGAAATGTCCGTTCGGGTCCCCCGTGTGGGCCCCCACTTGGAGCCGTCTTAGAGACCTGGGCCCTCTTGGAGGCCTCTTGGGCCGTCTTGGGGCCTTCTTGGGCTGGTTTGTGGCATGTGGCCTTCGTGGAGGACTCTTAGGCTGTCTTGGGGCGAGACTGGGGGCCTCGTGGGCCGTCTTGGAGCATTGGGAAGCCGAAAAGGCGAGAACGCCAAAATCATTCGTGCACCTTAGGACAATCAATGATTTTTGCCTCCTGGGGCCCACTTGGGAGCGCTCTTGGAGGCGTCTCGGGGCGCCTTCGCGGCCTCCCTGGGCCGTCTGGAGGCGTCTGGTCTGGGCGGCCTCCGGGGGCTTTCTTCGCCCTTGTTGGGGCCCTCCTGGGCGATGGGGACCGCCCCAGAGGCCCACGAGAGAAACCTGGGCAGCGCCCGGTGCCGCCCGAGAGCGCCCAGGAGATTGGGGGTCCGGCCTCTTAAGGTATGTACACGAACCCTTTACCTCTCAGGGCTGCACGAGCCTTGGGACACTCCATTCCGTGCGCGATGGCGGTTTTGTTGTCCAGCAGATAATCGTTACTGAATTCCCCCAGCAGTGTTTGCCTTTAGGGGAACTTACTTGACGCCCGTTGCCGTCCGTAGCCACCTACATCCCCCCTCGAAATCAATCGCACATTTTTCCCGCGACGGGGCGGCGCGCCAGGAACCCAAGATTTCAATACTCGCGCCGAAATAGACGACTGCAAACACAAACATCTGACCCCGTGGGCTGCGTTTCGTGCGTCGACCAGCATTAAAAACGTGGTTCAGACTTCGAGGAGGGTTGTAGTTGCCGCCTCGTGGGTTTGGTGGGTCTGGCGAGGTTTCGCCACCTTGCCGCCCGTTTCCGCCTCGTTGCCGCCTCGTTGCCGCCTCGTGCACGTGGTGGGTACGGTGAGGCTTTGCCACGTGGCCGCCCGTTGCCGCCTTGTTGCCGCCTCGTGCGCTGGGTGGGTCGGGCAAAGTTTCGCCACGTTGCCGCACGCTGCTGCCTCGTTGCCGCCTCGTGCGCTGGGTGGGTCCAGGGAGGTTTCGCCTCGTTGCCGCCCGTTGCCGCATCGTTGTCGCTACATACGTTGCTGCCTCGTTGCCGCCTCGTTGCCGCCTCGTGCGCTGGGTGGGTCGGGTGAAGTTCTGCCACGTTGCCGCCCGCTGCTGCCTCGTTGCCGCCTCGTGCGCCGGGTGGATCCGGTGAGGTTTCGCCCCGTTGCCACCCGTTGCTGCCTCGCGCCGCCTCGTGCGCTGGGTGGGTCAGGCGAGGTTTCGCCATGTTACCGCCCGTTGCCGCCTCCAGCTGGCATCGCGTATGTTTCGCAACATCGACCACTTTTGCAAATACTAGATTAGGATCTACCATCTACCTCCCCCTTCTGGGCTTAACGGTGCCCTTTTTTCGCATTGCGATTTACATCTTGTTTTGCCTCAGCGTCCATCCTAAATATGAATCCATGCCATCCCAGGCTGGCCGTTATCGGTTCCCCCCTTCGTCCTCTGCAGAAAATCATATGCGCGCGCATTAGTGTTTCAAACGTCAGCAGTTCTCAATAGTACCTTGCAAACAGATGACGAAGTGCACACGTGCGCGTCGTCGGGGGTGCATGCCGAAATCCTTCAACAACTGTTTAGGTTCCGTAAGGATTTCAAATCGAGTGTCCCGAGCACAGATTCGAACACATGGTTTCGCAACAAGGGTTTTCAAAAAAGCTTGCGCCCGCGCTCTTGCGAATGCTTCAGACAACCATCGGTTCTTCAACAGTTCCATCACATGCTACCAAACGGACCTCCGTCGCGCGCACGTCGAAATCGTTCGAACTTCCTTGCGCGCATGCTGTCGCGGTAATCCCTTGCACAAGAAGTATGACGAAGCGCACGCGCGCACGTCGTCGCGCGCATGCCGAAATCTTTCAAAAGCCTAACGTTTCGTGCGGGTGTCAAAAGCGAGTGTTCCAAAAACATGCAGAACACACATGGTTTTGCAACATCCGTTTTCAAACAAATGCCTGCGCGCGCTCTGGCGCATTCTTCAGAAAACCATCGGCTTTTCAGCATTACCATCAAATTCTGCCAAGCGGGCCTCTCGCCCCGCATGTCGAACTCATCCGAATGCCCCTGCGCGCGTGCTGGGGGGCACGATCCGTGTCAAACAATCCCACGCGGGCCACTCGCGCGCGTCGGCCGCGCGCGCTTGTTGAATTCCTTCCAAAACCTCCATCACGGACGCGAGGACATCGTCATCGTGATCAGCGGGTGTGATCAACATCGGCGCCGTCATTGTCCTTGCCGTCGTCATCGCCACCATCGTCACCATCATCACTACCTCATCGTGTCTACCGTTGTCGGCGTCGCCATTACAACGCGCCCGCCCACGTCACCGACTCGCACTGAAGTGCCCGCTGGAAGTGCCCAGCAGTCAGCGCCAGTCCGGCCGCGTCGGTCGCGCCGCACTAGCTGGTCGTTGTGCGCGCGAGCATGCGCGGGCTAGCGCGACCGCAGAGGTGCACCAGCCAACGCCAAGCACTCATCGCAATCGTCGTCGTATGGGTTTTGCAAACCAAGTTGCGGGTGGGTCGGTGGGATGTTTGCGCGAGCAGTGGAGTTGACAACGTCAAGTTCGGTAGGGTGAGTTAAACCGCATCGTTTGCATTACATAGGTTGCTCATGCGCAGTACTTAAACTTATTATTTGTGGTCCACGCTGGCTGACATGTATTTGTTAGTTGGTACATGCAAAACTATAGTGGCTGTGAACTGTCAGGAGGAGGGGGAGAAGGAACAAGGGGGAAATCTCTCCTCCCCCTCTCTGCTCTACCCTCCTCCCTTCTCCGCTCCCCTTTTGTTTCTCCTCTGCCTCCTTTTCCTTTTCCTTCTTTCTGGAGATCCAACCAGTTCGCACAGGACAGGCTTGGGGGCAGGGGCGGCCTTTGTCGCCGCCACCCTGTGTGGTTCGCAGCTTCGGAGGTGAGGCCAAAATCCTCCTCCTCCTCCTCCTCCTCCTCCTCCTCCTCCTCCTCTTCTCCCTATGTCCTGCTCTTCCGCCCGCTCTGCCCCTCCCCATCCCCCCGCCCCTCCTCCAGCTCCAGCTCCTTCCCCTCCTCCTCCTCCTCCTCCTCCTCCTCCTCCTCCTCCTCCTCTGCGCTCCTTCCTCCCCGTCGCCCCGCCTCCCCCCTTCTGGAGAGGCCCTCCCCGCACCTGCTCACCCCCGCTTCACCGAGCAGGCCCGCGGCGCGCCGGGGGGGCCCGCAGCGCACTCTCCCGCCCACCAGCCCGAGCCGTTTCTGGCCCCGCGGGCCCTCGGGTGGCCCGGCCCTGCGGCCGCTGGGCCGCAGCCGGTAGCTGGCGGCGGGCGCGGCCCAGGTCGGCGATGCGCGAGGACGGGGGGGGGGGAACGAACCCGATCCTGGGTCCAGGATCGGGGGGGGGAGTGAGGATCCTGGATCGGAGGGGGGGAGGGTCCAGGCGGAGAGTGGCCCGTGGGGGCGTGCGTTCCTCCAGGCCTCCCCCATGGGGTCCGAGCAGATGGGGTCAGAGGATCGCGCCGCATCGCCGATGCATCGGCGATGCGGCTCGATGTTGAGGTTGATTTTCTCCACGCCGACGGCGCCGATGCGTTTCGGCGATGCTGCGCGATCCTCCGACCCGATCTACTCGGGCCCATTCTGGAGGCCTCTGGCCTCTTCCCTCCTCCGCAGTGCCGCCAGCAGCCGCTGGCCCCGCGCAGGTGGGGCGCGCGGGCGCGCACAGCGGGCGTGGTTGCGACGCGTGCGCTCGAGCGAAGAGGCCGCGAATTCTTCCGGGGGAGGGGCAGGCCGAGGCGAGCAGAAAGGAGCAGTCGGCGAGCAGCTGAGGGGCTGCGTGCTCTTCTTGGCGTCGCGGCCCTGCGCGCGGCGACAGGGGGCTCTCGCGCCAATCCGAGACGTCCGCGCGGGCATCCGAAAGCTCATGCTGATGCCATTATCTGCTCCTTTGGATTCAAGGGAGGAGTAACCACCCCGACCTCAATCGCTGGCGTTGACTCAGCGGCCCTGGGCGTTTACTAAACATCGCTGTCATGTTCGATTTCATCCTTGGCTGCATTTACTAGACGGCTTCTCTTGTCGGTTGCTGTTTGTGAGGGTGGCTTTCCTGTTCCCCTAGAAGGGGCGAAAGAGCCAAGAGTGTGCCGCCGTGCCGTGTTCGCCGTGCCTTCCCCCCCTCCCCACCCTGGTCCCCTGTGGTCCACGAGGGCGGGACGCGCGCGTTCCCCCCTCCTCCTCGGCTCCCACGGAGGAGCTCAGCGAGTACCTCAGCGTCGGGGGGACCACGGTGGCCGCCTCGGAGCAAGCTGGTCGTTTGACCTCCTTCTGGAGAGCGCCAGGTATCATAAAGAAAAACCCGAACCCTAATAACGCAATGAAGATGTAGCCTTACCTAGATACCCGTTTTTGCATCAGGGATCACCAATATTAGTGGTTTGGCTTGATACACCTGCATCAACGACCCCCTATCCTTAAAGCTTTGAACCTCCTATCTAGGTAGACGCCCACGTGCACCGATCCTGACAAGGCCCATGCTCGGTCCAGGACGAGGCTGGCCAGGACCAGCGTAAGCGGATAGTCCTAGCCCCCGACGGCCCGATTTTTTCCCGGAAAGGGCTCGAGCCCAGGGTTCTCTTTCAGTGGGTTTACCCCCCAGTTTCGACGGGAAGAGGGCCGGCGAAATTGTTCTGCGATAAATTACGTGCGGGAAGAGGGCCGGCGGAATTATTTTTGAGGATGTCTCGAGCGAAACGCTTGTTTTTCAGAATTGAGGATGTCTCGAGCGAAACGCTGGTTCTTCAGAGTTGGGGGATGTCTCGAGCGAAACACTTGTTTTTCAGAATTTGTTGAGGATGTCTCGAGCGAAACGCTGGTTTTGCAGAGTTGGGGTATCTAACATGGCGTCGGGCCCAACGCCGAATAATGAGGAAACGCACGGGGGGCCGAAAAGCGCTACCCGAACACATGTCCCAATACAGAAAAGTGATGGTTTCTTGCTCTGAACAGGGGGTTGCGCTGTGGGGGGCTCTCCAGGGAAGACGTTGCGAGGATGTCTCGAGCGGGAGCGCGAATTCAGCGTATCCAGGTCACGCAGGGGGGGTATCTAACATGGCTGTCCCGAGCTGGAACCACGTGTTTTTTCATGCTCATGCCACCCAGGGAGATCTCTAACATGATTGTCCCGAGCTGGAACCACGTGTTTGTACGTGTCCAGGCCACCCATGGGGATATCTCTCATGGTTGTCCCGAGCTGGCACCGTGTTTTTACGTGTCCAGGCCACCAACACGACGCTTATCCCCAGCACATTCTGTAGCGCGTCCCCTTGGCACGTCCCGCGGTGCGTCCCCGTGGCACGTCCCCTGACACGTCGCCTGGCGCGTCCCTTGGAACGTTCCCTGGCGCGTCTTCTTGGCATGTTTCCTTGTCAATTAGCTCTGGGGCAGCTACTACGTGGACTATGTGCTCAGGCAGCTCGAGCTTAAGATCCAGATCAGTTCGGTCAGGACTCGGATGCAAAGGAGGACTCGATCCACGAGGCTATAGAGCACAATCGCGGCATGGCACATCGCAGTTCAGCACGGCGCAGCACAGCACAGCCCTCGGCACGGTACATCAAGATCGATACACTCACTCAGCATTGCAACTTGGCACGTTCTTTGGCACGTTCCGTGGCGCGTCCTGTGGCGAGTCCCCCTGGCACGTCGCGCGGCGCGTCCCTTGGCACGTCCCGTGGCACGTCCATTGGCACGTTCCGTAGCGCGTCCTCTTGGCACGTCCCGCGGTGCGTCCCCATGGCACGTTCCCTGGCACGTCGCTGGCGCGTCCCTTGGAACGTTCCGTGGCGCGTCTTCCTAGCATGCCCCCCCGTGAATTAGCTCTTGGGCAGCTACTATGTGCTCAGGCAGCTCGAGCTTAAGATCCAGATCAGTTCGGTCAGGACTCGGATGCAAAGGAGGACTCGATCCACAACGCTATAGAGCACAACTGCCTTCGGCACGATACATCAAGATCGATAAACTCAGCATTGCAACTTGGCACGTTCCGTGGCGCGTCCTGTGGCGAGTCTCCTTGGCACGTCGCGCGGTGCGTCCCCTGGCACGTCCCGTGGCACGTCCATTGGCACGTTCCGTAGCGCGTCCTCTTGGCACGTCCCACGGTGCGTCCCCGTGGCACGTCCCCTTGCACCTCGCTTGGTGCGTCCCTTGGCACGTCCCGTGGCACGTCCATTGGCACGTTCCGTAGCGCGTCCCCTTGGCACGTCCCGCGGTGCGTCCCCATGGCACGTCCCCTGGCACGTCGCCTGGCGCGTCCCTTGGGACGTTCTGCGGCGCGTCCTCCTGGCAGGTTCCCCTGTCAATCAGCTCTGGGGCAGCTACTAGTTATGTGCTTAGGCAGCTCGAGCTTAAGATCCAGATCAGTTCGGTCAGGACTCGGATGCAAAGGAGGACTCGATCCACAACGCTATAGCACAATCGTGGCATGGCACATCGCAGTTCAGCACGGCGCAGCACAGCACAGCCCTCGGTACGGTACATCAAGATCGATACACTAAGCATTGCATTTGCCCGTCGGCCAATCAGGTGTCTTTGAAACGTTGCCATGTCTTACATTTATATATTCCTTTCCGGGTTCGTGGGTCGATCATGTTGAACAGCCAGCCCCTGGACCTCTCGACCCCTTCCCTGTGACAGGTTCTTCATGCCCGACCGTGGTTTGTTGGCCCCGGTGCCCAACAGGGGCTTCCACAGGTCGAAATCGAGGGCCAAGTTGCCGCCATGGCTTGTTGGGGTGACTCCAGGGCAGCAGGCAGTTAGCGTCCCCCTTCGGGCGGACGGCAACGGGGGGGTATAAACGTACCGGGGTGAAGGATCTAAGGGAAATTCTTCACGCTTCGCGCATCTCCACCAGCTTTTTTCCCCAATTTGTCTGCATGTTGCCCGAATTATCTGGCTCTGTGCCCCAGTTAGCCTGATTGACACGCCCTCTGGACTCTTCCTTGCGGGCCGCAGATCAAAAAGGCATCTCCACCAGCCCATTTGGAAACCCTGCCCATGAAAGCTGACAGAGGAGAGGCGAAGGGACACATGTCGTGAACCAAAGCGGGCAACCAGGGTGAACAGAGTGATCTCTGGGAGCAAGCGATGGCCTTGGAGGATCTCTTCGGGCCATCCCTGTGGCCCGCGTGGGGGCGAGGCAAGGAGGAGGAGGAGGAGGAGGAGGAGGAGGAGGAGGAGGAGGAGGAGGAGGAGGACGAGGAGGACGAGGAGGACAACGGGGACGAGGGCAGAGCACTCAAACTCGCCTCTTGGAGCCCTCTTGGGACTCTTTTGGGATATCTTGGGGTCCTGTTGGGGCCCTTTTGGTGGGTCTTGGGGCGCTCTTGGGGGCCTCTCGAACACTCTTGGGGGTCCTTTGGGAGCCCTGGAGGGCCTCGTGGGGCGATCTTGGAGGCCACCGATGAAAAGGGGGGGTCCTAGCTTTTGGCTTTCCCCCCCCTGGGGGCCATCAACATCGCATCTTGGGGCGCCCTTGGGCCCCTCTTTGGGCGCTCGCTCTTGGGGCCGTCTGGGGGGCCTCTTGGGCGCCTCATGGTCCTCTCTTAAGCCGTCTTGCGGCCATCTTGAGTCCTCAGAAGCGCACCGGAATCGGAAAGGCAACAAGGCACAAATCGTTGATGTTCCACATGTCTTTTCCCAACCATCCTGTGGTGCTGGGTCCTCGCTGTGAAGAGAGCGTCCCTCCTCCTCCTCCTCCTCCTCCTCCTCCTCCTCCTCCTCCTCCTCCTCCTCTTCCTCCTCATCCCTCTCCTCCCTCATCCCATCATATTTCCTCTGCCCTCCACATGTCTCTGTTTCGGCACACCACTCACACGTTTCGTGGAGGCCCCAGTGGCGCAGCCCGCATGCGGGCGGCACCTCCGTTTCGGCACACCCCTCGCACGTTTCGTGGCCCCACAGGGAGCTTCACCCAAGGCCCCGACACTCCCGTTTTGACACCCCTCACGCGTTTCGTGGCCCCACAGGGAGCTTCACCCAAGGCTCCAGTGGCGCAGCCCGCATGTGGGCGACAACCTCGTTTCGGCACACCCCTCGCGCGTTTCGTGGCCCCACAGGGAGCTTCACCCATGGCCCCAGTGGCGCAGCCCATCTTGCGGGCGACACTCTCGTTTCGGTACACCCCTCGTACGTCGTGGTCCCACGGGGAGCTCCACTTACGTTGCCAGTGGCGCAGCCCGCATGTGGGCGACACCCCCCTTTCGGCACACCCCTCACACGTGTCGTGGCTCCACAGGGAGCTCCACCGAAGGCCCCAGCGACGCAGCCCGCATGCGGGCGTTGCCCCATAGGGAGTTTCACTTCAGACAGTACTCTCACAACTGCATATATGGTTGGATTATTCGCTAGGTTTATTTTCCCGGAAAGGGCGTCGGCCCAGGGTTCTCTTTTAGCTGGTTTACCCACGGTTTGAAGGGGGCCGGCGAAATTATTCTGCGTAAATGACAAGGTAAAGTGCTGAACAAAAAAGAGTGTGTCGTGCGTGCCCGCTCGAGGAAAGTGCGCCCCCCATCTCGGATCCTCGATAAAAAACGGGGTCCGCAGACCCCCGATTTCCCTCGTAGAAAAGAGGGTGCGGAGCGTTTGTCGCAGAATCCTAGACAAATAACAAGGTCTGGAGCCCCGACCGCGACGCGGAAAAGCGCCCCGCGCGCAGGAATTCCGAGGATGTCTCGCGCGTGCCGCGTCCCGCGCGCAGGAATTTCGAGGATGTCTCGACTAATTCACTAATTCATTTGTTTTGTGAGGATTTCTTACAATTTTGGCAGGATGTCTCGAGCGAAACGCTTTGTTTACATAGTTTGTTGAGGATGTCTCGAGGGAAACGCTGGTTTTGCAAAATTTGGGGATGTCTCGAGCGGGGGCTTCGTGGGGGGCCACCATTCAGAGGATGTCTCAGGCGAAATGCTTGTTTTCGTGTTCCGCTCGCAGGAATTCCAAGGATGTCTCGCGCGTGCCGCGTCCCGCGCGCAGGAATTTCGAGGATGTCTCGACTAATTCGTTTGTTTTGCCAGGATTTCGTGGGATTTTGAAAAGATGTCTCGAGCGAAACACTTGTTTTTCATAATTTGTTGAGGATGTCTCAAGCGAAACGCTGGTTTTGCAAACTTAGGGGATGTCTCGAGCGGAGGCCTCTTGGGGGGCCAGAATTCAGCTGATGTCTCAAGCGAAATGTTTGTTTTCACGTCACGCTCGCAGGAATTCCGGGGATGTCTCGCGCGTGCCACCTCCCGCGCGCAGGAATTTTGAGCCATCTTGGTTCGTCTTGGGCGCTCTAACCCCTCGCCCCCCCTCCCCGTCCAGACCCAGGGATAGAGGGGGGCGGTCAACCTCCCCGAAGGGAAAGAGGTTTTCGGAAGAGGAAAGAAAGACCTCGTTAGACCACCGCAGCCCAAGGGGCTGGTGGGATTTCCCTCAATTGCCGATCAACGGCCCCTAAACTGCCACTGCGGGCCCGAAAGGTGCACGAACGATGCGCTTTTCTGCACCCCAGGTCCATCGCCCCCACCCGCTAGCGATCACCTGATCCTGTCAGAGCAAGCTGACCGTGTGGCTGCCGAGCTCGATCGCGGTGCCGATCGGGTGATGAATCGATGAGCGACTGGTCAGGCCGCGTGGCTTGCCGGGCCGGTTCGCGCGCGGGCCCGTCCTCGTCGTGCGCCCCATCAGGGTCAGGTCGCGGCCTGATCTCGGTCCCAATCCTGTGGCCGAGGTCGCGATCCCGCGATCGGCCACCGGCTGGGCATTCGGAGGTGGCCAGTGCTATCGGCAAGGTCGGCGCGGAGCTGGGGAGACGACACAGTGCCGCGCGTGTTCCTCGTCGTTGTCGTATTTGTCATCCACCTCATTCCCTCCCCACGATGTGCTCTTTTGAATTCAAAACCGCCCACGATCTGCTCTCTCTTTTTTTCCGGGAAATGGCTTAGGCCCAGGGTTCTTTTTTAAATGTTTACCCCCGGACCTGATTTGAGGTGGGCCGGCGGAATTATTCTTTGATCGATATCCAGGTCGAGGTGGGCCGGCGGAATTTTTTTTGAGGATGTCCCTAGCGAAACGCTTGTTTTTCACAATTGGTTGAGGACGTCTCGAGCGAAACGCTTGTTTTGTGTTATGGATTGTTTTTTCCTGGGGACCAGAATTTAGAGGATCTTTCAAGTGAAATGCTTGGTTTCACGTGCCCAGGTCTTGAGGATATCTCGAGCGAGACGCTTGGTTTCACGCCTCCAGGTTGCCCAGGCAGAGGTCAAGCGCCATGATTTGTTTAGGATGTCTCGAGCGAGACGATTGGTTTCACGCGTCATCGTCGCCCAGGCGGATGTCTAGAATGAGGAGGTGTTGAGGAAGTTCCGATCGAGATGCTCGTTTGCACGTGTCCAGGTTGCCCAGGCGGATGCCTAGCATGAGGATGTGTTGAGAATGTCTCGAGAGATACGCTTGTTTTCACGTGTCCAGGTCGCCCAGGCGGATGTCTAACATGAAGATGTGTTGAGGATGTCTCGAGCGAGACGTTTGCTTTCACGTGTACAGGTCGCCAAGGCGGATGTCTAGAATGAGGAGGTGTTGAAAACGTCTCGAGCGAAACGCTTGTTTTCACGTGCCCAGGTCACCCAGGCGGACGTCTCACATGAAGATGTGTTGAGGATGTCTCGAGCGAACTACTTGTTTTCACGTGTCCAGTTCGCCCAGGCGGATGTCTAGCATGAGAATGTGTTGAGGATGTGTTGAGCGAAACGTTTGTTTTCACGTGTCCAAGTCGCTCAGGCGGATGTCTAGAATGAGGATTTTAACACGATGTCTCGAGCGAAACGCTTGTCCCAGCACGTTCCGTAGCGCGTCCCCTTGGCACGTCCCGCGGTGCGTCCCCATGGCACGTCCCCTGGCATGTCGCCTGGCGCATCCCTTGAGACGTTCCGCGGCGCTTCCTCCTGCCATGTCCCCCTGTCAATTAGCATTGCGGCAGATACTATGTGTTCAGGCCGCTCGAGCTTAAGATCCAGATCAGTTCGGTCAGGACTCGGATGCAAAGGAGGACTCGATCCACGACGCTATAGAGCATAACCGCGGCATGGCACATCGCAATTCAGCACGGTGCAGCACAGCACAGCCCTCGGCACGGTACATCAAGATCGATACAATCAGCATTGCAACCTGGCACGTTCCTTGGCACGTTCCGTGGGGCGTCCCTTGGCGAGTCCCCCTGGCACGTCGCGTGGCACATCCATTGGCACGTTCCGTAGCGCGTCCCCTTGGCACGTCCTACGGTGCGACCCCATGGCACGTCCCCTGGCACGTCGCCTGGCGCGTCCCTTGGGACGTTTCGCGGCGCGTCCTCCTGGCATGTCCCCCTGTCCATTAGTCTGGGGCAGCTACTATGTGTTCAGGCAGCTCGAGCTTAAGATCCAGATCAGTTCGGTCAGGACTCGGATGCAAAGGAGGACTCGATCCACGACGCTATAGAGCACAACCGCGGCATGGCACATCGCAATTCAGCACGGTGCAGCACAGCACAGCCCTCGGCACGGTACATCAAGATCGATACAATCAGCATTGCACTTGCCCGTCACCCAATCAGGTGTCTTTGAAAACGCTGCCATGCGTTACATTTCTATATTCCTTTCCGGGTTCGTGGGTCGATCATGTTCCCGGAAAGGGCGCCAGCCCAGGGTTCTCTTTCAGGACGGTAATCTTGTCCCCGGTGGCATGCGGGAGGTGGGCCGGCGGAATTCCGCTAGATAAAAAAACGAGGTAAAGTCAAATTCGGCGTGAACAAAATGCGTTTCGCGCGTGCCCGCTCGAGGAAAGTCGACACCCCATCTCGGATCCTCGATCAATAACGGGGTCCGCGGACCATTGTTTTCCTTCGTAAAAAAAGGTGCGGGGCACTCTTGGCAGAATCCTAGAAAAAAAACGAGGTCTGGAGCCCAGACCGCGACGCGGGAAAGCGCCCCGCGCGCAGGAATTCCGAGGATGTCTCGCGCGTGCCGCGTCCCGCGCGCAGGAATTTCGAGGATGTCTCGACTAATTCGTTTGTTTTGCCAGGATTTCGTGGGATTTCGAAAAGATGTCTCGAGCGAAACACTTGTTTTTTCATAATTTGTTGAGGATGTCTCAAGCGAAACGCTGGTTTTGCAAAATTTGGGGATGTCTCGAGCGGGGAATTCCGAGGATGTCTCGCGCGTGCTGCGTCCCGCGCGAAGAAATCTCGAGGATGTCTCGACTAATCCGTTAGTTTTGCCAGGATTTCTTGGGACTAGCGAAACGCTTGTTTTTCATTATTTGTTGAGGATGTCTCGAACGAAACGCTGGTTTTGCAAAATTAAAGAATGTCTCGAGCGGGGGCCTCGTGGGAGGCCAGAATTCAGAGGATGTCTCAGGCGAAATGCTTGTTTTCACGTCCCGCTCGCAGGAATTCTGAGGATGTCTCGCGCGTGCCGCGTCCCGCGCGCAGGAATTTCGAGGATGTCTTGACTAATTCGTTTGTTTTGCCAGGATTTCGTGGGATTTCGAAAAGATGTCTCGAGCGAAACACTTGTTTTTTCATAATTTGTTGAGGATGTCTCAAGCGAAACGCTGGTTTTGCAAAATTTGGGGATGTCTCGAGCGGGGAATTCCGAGGATGTCTCGCGCGTGCTGCGTCCCGCGCGAAGAAATCTCGAGGATGTCTCGACTAATCCGTTAGTTTTGCCAGGATTTCTTGGGACTTTGACAGGATGTCTCGAGCGAAACGCTTGTTTTTCATTATTTGTTGAGGATGTCTCGAACGAAACGCTGGTTTTCCGCCGTGCTTCTTCGCTCTTGTGGTCTATTCTGCCGTGCTCCTGGTCTTTTTCCCGGAAAGGGCATAGGCCCATGGTTCTCTTTTAGTTTGTAAGCTTGTCCCCGGTGCCTCAACTGAGGTGGGCCCGCGGATTCTTTCCGTGATAAATAATTATCGAGGTCGAGGTGGGCCGGCGGATTAAAATTTGAGGATGTCTCAGGCGAAACGCTTGTTTTTGAAATCCCGATCGATAAATCATAGGGTGCGGGCCACCTCAGCACGACCACATCCCAGCACGACCACACCCCAGCACGACCACGCCCCAGCACGACCATGCCCCAGCACGACCACACCCCAGCACGACCACACCCCAGCACGACCACACCCCAGCACGACCACACCCCAGCACGACCACACCCCAGCACGACCACACCCCAGCACCAGCACGACCACACCCCAGCACGACCCGATCGATAAATCACAGGGTGCGGACCACCCCAGCACGACCACACCCCAGCACGACCCCACCCCAGCACGACCCCACCCCAGCACGACCACGCCCCAGCACGACCACACCCCAGCACGACCACACCCCAGCACGACCACACCCCAGCACGACCCCACCCCAGCACGACCCCACCCTAGCACGACCACACCCCAGCACGACCACACCCCAGCACGACCACACCCCAGCACGACCCCACCCAGCACGACCCCACCCCAGCACGACCACACCCCAGCACGACCACACCCCAGCACCCCACCCCAGCACGACCCCACCCCAGCAAGACCACACCCCAGCACGACCACACCCCAGCACGACCTCACCACAGCACGACCACACCCCAGCACGACCACGCCCCAGCACGACCACGCCCCAGCACGACCACGCCCCAGCACGACCACCCCCAGACCACCCCCCAGCACGACCACCCCCCCAGCACGACCACCCCCAGCACGAGCACGACACCCCCAGCACGACCACTCCCCAGCACGACCAGCACGACCACACCCCAGCACGACCCGATCGATAAATCAGTGGGTGCGCACGACCACCCCAGCACGACCACCACCCCCCAGCACGACCACCCCCCAGCACGACCACCCCCCAGCACGACCACTCCCCAGCACGACCACTCCCCAGCACGACCACACCCCAGCACGACCACACCCAGTCGCACCCCCCTGGAAGGTTTCGCGGGGTGTCTGGTTGAGTGGTTGCCTGTTCGTGGGGTGTCTCTTGGAATGTTTCACGGGGTGTCTCGTGGAATGTTTCGTGAGGTGTCTTGTGGAATGTTTCGTGAGGTGTCTCGTGGAATGTTTCGTGAGGTGTCTCGTGGGATGTTTCGTGAGGTGTCGCCCAGTTGGGTCTCGTAAAAACGTGACCATGCTGCACATGTCTATCGGAGGTTGGGGGGTGAGATCGAAGTGGAACGGAGAGCCCCCCTACCGGGAAATCGATTTCGGTTTCGTGTTCGTGCGTGCCGTGCGTGCGGGCGAGGCGAAGCTGCGTGGGCGGGCGAGAGGAAAGTCTCCTGTGGCTGAGGCGCGGCCGGACCAAATGATTCTCCACCGGGGCGCGGGGCCGCGCGGTGTCCCGCCGGTGTCCCGGTGGTGTCCTCTGTGGCTGAGGCGCGGCCGCACCAAATGATTCTCCACCGGGGCGCGGGGCCGCGCGGTGTCCCGCCGGTGTCCCGGTGGTGTCCCGTCGGTGTCTCGGTGATGATGTCGATGATGATTATGATGATGCTGATGATGATGATGATGATGATGATGATGATGATGATGATGATGATGCTGATGATGATGGTGATGATGATGATGGTGATGATGATGTTGATGATGGCGATGATGATGATGCTGATGATGATGATGATGATGATGATGATGATGAAGATGCTGATGCTGATGATGATGATGATGATGATGATGATGATGATGTTGTTGTTGATGTTGATGTTTGATGATGATGATGATGATGATGCTGATGATGATGATGATGATGATGATGATGAT